GGCACCAGGCCCCCTGCTAACCTCCCAGGACATCCAGGACCCCGTGTCCCCCTGAAGCGTGGGGCTCCCCGAAGCGTAGTAAGCCTGAACAGTGGTGACGCTGGGCCCACGTTCCTAAATATTGGTGGAGCACGGGCACCACGGGCTCATATAACTTCTTGCTTATGGAATCAAACTGTAAACCCTGTATATAATGGAAACCACTTCAAGACAGGTGGTGCTGCAGCACCCTCCACACCGTTAGTTCCAGCACCTATGATGTTAATGCAAACAAGGAATCTTTTAGTTTGTGCTTGCAGTGTTCACACGGGGGTTACAGTGCAGCAGTTTAGTACAAACCTCTTGGTCCAGACTGGAGGGCAGTGTAGACGAGTCATTACTGAACCCTTTTACAAAATCCAAAACTGTTTTCATGCAGGTGTACAATAATTTCAGATAGCTGCTTAATGGCTGCTGAGGAGGGGCATCTGCCGGTTCCATAGCATGTGCCTCTTCTTCCATGCCAACTCAGAATGACCTTACCACTGAGACCTAGTTGTGAACCTTCGGGGAACTGGCTTTCGGCCTGTGAGCCCAATAATCAAAAAGTTATTATTTTTTCTGCTAATGTTGTTTAGTTGCTCATCTTTTTATTTTCGTGTAAATCTTAACAATTCCTTATGCTCACACATGTGAATACGGAAGAGTCTGTTAAAGTTACTCTTGAATGTCTTTATTTTTTTTTTTTTATATCTTGTTTATGAGAATGAGAAGCTAAATTTTATATTGGCAGTGTTTTGTCTTAGGATGCTTGTGGGGAAAATTAAACTCTGCTGCATCAAACTTGTGCAGGATTTTGCTTTCTCTTACTTATGGCCACCCACACAAGCGTTCTGTTACTGGGTTCTTTTTGTGGTCCCAGGTTACAGAAAAGTTAAGACTTTATTGTGGCATGTGGGGGTGGCTTTTAGTTGTTGAGCTTTTTGGTCTTGTATTTTGGGCAGCATGTTGCATTCTTTAGGACCACACAGCTTTTCTTCCTAAAACATTGGCATCTTGGATTATAGAAGCTATAAAATGTCAAGTAGACACAAACCGTGAAAAACACAAATATTTTCACCAGCTGTTTTTTCTTTAAAAGCATCTTAAAACCATGTACAGCAGACTTACGAAATAGCATAAAATTTATAACTTGTTTTAATATAATTTGATATAAACACACTACCCCCAGAAATTTGTGTAATTTGAAAAGTGTAATATTTATATCAAAAGTCCCAGTTTTACTAGCTATGAATACATTTATGTGACCTTTAGAAGGTAGGGGATAACCTGCTAATGATGCAGATTGAGTCATATTTTATATGTTTATCATAAGGGTCAAGTTATTCTTTTTACAAGGTTTCTGTATTAAACAAATTGTTTTGTCCATGAGATCACATATTTGTTTGTGATGGATACGTTTCTGCTTTGACCTTTTTTTTAAATCTCAGAATCTGGTAGGCACATTGAAAATGCTCAAAACAGTTGAATTCTTGGCTTTAAAAAGTAATGTTTTGAGGTGTAATAGTGGTCTGAAATTCAGACTAAGGTAATTAATAGACTGAATTTCATCATTATGCAAAGACAAAACCAGTATTTATATTTTTTAGTAGATTTTTGTCATTCAAGTGTTTTGATATTTAAGATGAACAATTTTGGAGGGTGGTTTCAATGCAACACTGAAGGATGAAAACTCTGCCAAATTCCCAGAATATATAGGAGTTTTGCAAATAAAGATATTTTTACTGAATTATCAGCTTGTTAAGCCACCCTGCACCTTACAAACACCTAATCAAGGAAGAAGAAGACATAATATTGAGTATATGGCTAGTGGTCAACATGTGGGAGTCACTGGACTGAGAGAGAGGATACCTTGACCGTAGTGAGCATGCTAATGTATTGTATCATATTACCCTGCAACTGAAGATGGGAGATTGACTGACTGCACTAACCTGGAACTAAGATTGGGCCAAATATACGTGAAAATTGTAATGTTTTATAATTAAAAAGATATAGATTGAGGTTTAAGTACAGAAAAAAGGTGAAATGAATTTTTGCTCAGGCAATTGGATATTAACATATGTGAAAATTCTCTTTGAGAGCTGTACCAAATACTCAATTTCATTTAAAATGGCATGTGGTAGTAAAGATAATTAGCTATTGAGACTATATAATGGGAAGTAAACTTGCCTATTAAGTGTTCTTATGGAAACCCTTTTTACTGGTTTGTAAACTTCCTTTTATTAGTATAAAATTAGCTCAGTGTACAACTTGTAGGTAAAGAGAAGATAGACAAGGTTGCTAGGGAAAAATGACTTGTTTAAACGTTACCTATGGCAGGGTGGAATTGGCTGGCTTCCCAGTAGATGTTTGGGTTTTATCAGAGAGTTTCTGTGGAGGATTATTTGCTAAAGCTCTAAAGTAAGTGTGTGTGTGTGTGTGAGAGAGAGAGAGAGAGAGAGAGAGAGAGAGTCAGGGTTGGGACCTCTTTTCACTTTTATGACTGTTTGAAACTTACGGGTTTATTTTAACTCTTCTCCCCTTTTGGGCATTGGGTCATGTTGTACCCAGTTTATTTTTTGGCATGCAAATTTCAGACTAAATTGGGTCCCCATGTGCAAATTATATTGCAGTGATAATTTTGGTGTGACATCCTGTGTGCAGGATGGGTTTTGGGAATTGAGATGCTTGCTGCGTGAGAGAACACGGACTCACTTGGAAACTTCGCAGTGCAGACAAGGTGGTAGTATGTAATGGACGGATGCCCCACCCCCCTTCTGATTTTTTTTGAGGCACTTAGCACTTCTTGGCTTTGGTACAGATGATAAAAACAGGCCTAGTCCAAATTGGTCCATAATGTCCATATATAGTCAACCAACCTGTCATTAAGGCGTCTTGCTCATCTGCTGTAGGGTTTCTTCAGGTGGCCAGAATATGCAGGTTTTTATGAAAACTGTGACAAAATATCACTTTATATAAATATGGTGAGGGACAGTCTTAATTTTCAGGGTGTTATTTTGTTGCTAGTATCATAAGAGCACCCCAACCAAAATTGAGTTTTCATTGTGCTAGATTTTATACAAACTTATAGAGATGTTCCCTGCTTCAAAGAACTTAAAATCTAAATAGACATAATAGAGACAAGAGGGTGGGAGAAATGGTTACATTGCAGAAGAATCAGGATGGTGGGTGACAAACCTCTGGTTAGTTCAGTGCGGTTCTTTTTTCCCTCCTGTAGCTTTTGTCAGTTTTGTGATTTGTGTGTGTGTGTGTGTGCCGGGGGGGGGGGGGGGGTAGATTTAAAGAGTATAGGAAATGGGATGGAGAGGGAAGGCTGAGGGGAAGAGTCAGGTTGGGCACATAGGTCCTGAGGGGGTGGGAGGAAGTTGGAGCAATCAGCTGATGACCAGAGTTGGGAAGTCAGGCCATGTCTACACTATAGGAACTAAACCACAACAGTTAGAGCACCGTAGCTATGCTGGCATAAGCCAGAAGGGGGTTTTACTTCAATGTAGGGATACTACCTCACTGAGCTATGGTAACTATGACAACAGAAGCATTCTTCTGTCCACTTATCTGCAGCTATACTGGGAGTTAGGTTGGTATTGCTACGACACTTGTGCATGCTTGCATTTCCCCCCACAATATTTCAAAATTTTCACTGTAGATCAGGCCTCGGTCTGACGTTACCAACATCCAAGAGGTTATAGAGGTACAAGGGAAGCCCTGGCTGGACTGCTTCTTTCTCAGCCTGTGATTTTGCTGTTTAGCACCTTATTGATAGACGGTAGCTCTCAGTGCTGGTTCCATCCTTAAAGGAGCTGCTTTTGCTTTTAACTTCCCCATGGATTTAAAATTGCCCAGTCTTCTAAGATGTGGATTTAATTATGAACTACTTTATTCAAATTCAGTGGGGTAACTTAAGGGTAGAATGGCGTAATTTAACTAAGCAGGTTTGTCCTTTTTTTAGCTTGCTACAGAGAGGAGTTCCAGGCCCGCATTACGTCTGCCAACATTATTGTTGATTAACTCTGGTTCAGTGCTTAACCTCAGGAATGACACTTGAAATTCTTTAGTAAGCAATTCCAAACCTTCTTCCATTGAAGTTCATGGAATATCGGGGTTGGAAGGGACCTCAGGAGGTCATCTAGTCCAACCCCCTGCTCAAAGCAGGACCAATCACCAATTTTTGCCCCAGATCCCTAAATGGCACCCTCAAGGATTGAGCTCACAACCTTGGGTTTAGCAGGCCAATGCTCAAACCACTAAGCTATCCCTCCCCCCAAGTTGATAATTGTGCCATTGGCTTCAGGGGAAGCATTGTGTAGTGTTCTGTTAAAGATGTGGAGGGGAAGGTGCTGTCTTCAGAGGGCTGAAACTTGGTTCCTGTTGCACCATGTCAAATTACATGAGTAAGCTTGCTCATTCACAGACCTTGTCTTCTGAATTTTGCCTCAGTGAATCCCATTATTAGTCCTCTCTGAGGGAGAGTCTTTTGTAAACAGAAAATTCTTGGTGGATAGTGTAGGTGAGATGGGGTACAGTATGAGTGTGTGTTTTGCAAAACTATATAAATTTTCCCCAAGTTGTCAGACAGCACATTTTCTTTAAATTACAGTGGTTTACAGTGATATATCATGGTTTCTTTACATTTCTTTCTTGTAATGTATAAAATCTATCTAACCTCATTTACATTTGGTAAAGAATTAAAATGTACAGTAAATTAATGCAGATATACATATTGGACGTTATTCCACTGGTAGTAATCTGACATACAAATAGTGTGAATTTTTATCAGTAGATGTTTCTTTGAACTCTTCAACCAGAACTAGTCTGTGTATAATGGAATATTTAGTAAAGATGTTTACTAAAGGAGAGAGACGTAAAAATGGAATACAAAAATCTTATTGACTTGATAGAGCTAAAAAGCTGAAGTTTGGTTTGACAAAATACCTTTTTTTGTTGTTGTTGTTGTTCCGCAGGACCCTGCTTACTGGGTGAACATTCACCACCTCGAGTACACAGATGGGGGGATCCTGGACCCAGATGATGTGCTGGCAGATGTTGTTGAGGACAAAGATAAGGTAGATTAAAAAGGGAGAGGTAGTGGTGGTGGTGGTTGCAGAGTTTGAATTACAATATTGTACTTGCGTTTCCTGTGTCCCTTCAATAACCATATGCCTGGTACTTGGGTACCAAGAGTGTGGTGCAGTATTCAGTAACCTTAAATCAAACACATCTGCCTAGACATGTTGCAGCTATGTTCTTCATTCAGCGCTACTGCAAAAGGAAAATGTATGATCAAAACAGCTGATATATTCACATAAGATTAGTATTTGAGTTACAATTTAATCCTTTAATTCAGGATGTTTTATGGTTCTCTTGTAGTTTTATGAAACGAGGGTGGTTTTTGATGAGGAGAGGATGTGGAGTTGGATGGGATATTGAATTTTATGCCAGTAATATTTCTAACTTTTTAAAAATCTCTCTAGAGGAAAGTTTGAGAACCACTCATGATAGGTCATGGATTAATGTGAAGAACTGCAGCAATTCTGTCTTGTAAATCACATAGAATCAATTTGCTTCAGAACAGAACTGAAAGTCTGGGCAGGCCACACCCACTCCAGTTCACTCTAGTGTGTGTTTTTATATGTATTCCCAAAGACCATGGGTGTCCAGCTTGGGAATTCCTGACCCAAGGTATCCTATATGTACATAGAAATAGCTCACCTAAAAATACCTAGTATTGCTGCTTAATTACCCTGGCAGACTAGTGTAGTTTAAGTGAATTCATCAATAAATTACTTGCCGTATATAGTCTGAAGAGTGTAGTTCAGATCCGATTAACATTTCGTTATTGTATTTGAATTAAAATCTAAACCATAAGAGTATTGATGCCAAGAAAAAAATATTAAAGCAAAAAACTCTTTTCTGTTTACATACTTGTGAAAATGTGAAATTTTTGTTTTCCTATCCTGCAGAAAAAACCTTTTCAATGTAGGACTCGTGTTCTCATAGGGTCATCTTTTCCCTGACATCAGAAGCACCAATAATAATGACAGATTGATTCATAGATTGCTAAGATAATTTATATCGTGTGTGTGTGTGAGAGAGAGAGAGAGAGAGTAGTGCTTATTGAAAGAAAACTGCTTGACGGTTACAGATGACTTGCTGCTTGAAATAATTCTGACTTCAAAACAGTAGGTTGCTTTGTAACACTACAAAACATACTTTAACATAGGAAGACTAGAACTACATAATTTTAAAGCTCAGTGTATACAGAGTGGCAGTAGCAAGGTCTTTCAAGTATTTCATGTCACATTAGCTGTATTTCACTAAATTAACAAATGCAAGAAAACAGTTCCCCTGTTGACATTTTGTTATAAAGTTGACATTTGTAATACATTAGATAATTTAGCAGTGGTCTCCCTTGAATTGTGCTTGTTGTGAGATCTAATGAGGTTGCCACTGAGATCATGATGGGCCATCTTACCATGAAACCTTGTTTTAAAACAAAACAAAACAACAATAGCTCACATTCAAAAGCGTTTCATTTTGATATAATGGTGGGAGTTTGGATAACTCAAGAAATGGTTTTGGAATTTAGACCCTTCGCCTTTGTCACTTTGTTCTTTCTGTATCTGTGGTAGAAATAAGATTCAGAACAGAAAATGTTTCAGGGTTTTTTAAGACACTTCAAAGAATGACAGGAGAATTATTGTATTATATGCTCAAATAATTGTTTCCAAGCATTTGCGTATCATACTTGTCCTGGTTTTATACTCACAAAATCCAAAGAACAATGCAGCATCTAAATCCTTCAGTTTGTCTTTGTGAATAATCATTGGAAACTTTATTTTTACATCTGATATTGCTCAGAAGCAACCAGCAGTGCTATTGAGCCCTGCTTCACAAAATTCCCAGGAACATTTTTGTATCAAAACAGGAACAACAACTGGATGATGGTGGCATACATAAATTGCCAAGGAAGGACACAGCAATAATCTGAAGCACAGGGCCACTGGAATCCTTTTATACTTAGAGAAACAGAACCTCTCTACCACAGCTTACATGGATGCCAGGCAAAACAAGAGTCAAGGTCAAATGGCTTAATTTTCAAATGCTACCAGCAGGGAAGTGGCAAGCTAAAATAGGACATGTTTGATCTTTTGTCTCTTTGTGGCTTTCTTGCTCATCTAGACTCATTTGTAACTTAAAACAGCAGGCTAGTATTTTGCTCTCAATTAATGGAATACATGAGCATAGAAGATGTCCATCTTCACTTTTTTTTATATATGTGCTGGTATATACATTCTCTGAAATGACTTGGGAAAAAAAGACTAAAGTATGTGTAATTCTAATTACAGCATATTGACTTCAGACTAATATTCACTAGGCTCTTAAAGATGGAAACTGCAAAACCAGGAAGCATCCAGTTTTTCAAAAGCTAGCTTTTTATCAGTACCCCCTTATTCACCTTAAATGTCATAACATTTGAGTGTTACATGGATGCTCCTGTTAACTAACTATCCTATTTCAAAATCTCAGAGATTTCCTACAGTTGTAGCATACAAGGATTTGCGGGGTGGGGGTCTTTGTCACCTAGTACGTAGACTGAGGCCTGTCATAGATTCAGTTTCTTATGTGAGGCCTAAGGGATTAAACCTCAGTTCTTCATTGAGTAATGGTTCCTTTTGTATCCCACTGTGGGTTTATGCATGTGCCCAGAGCAAGAGAATTTGAAAGTAGAGTTTGTTGGTCTGCGCCTTTGCCCTGGCTCTCCTCATATTTTTGGCTGGAGGGATAAAGGGCAGGGTGAACTGACAATTTCTCCAGTTACTTCTCACTGCTGCATGTTCTAGGTTGGAACCTACAGTGTCGGTAGCTTTGTCTTCATCCTACAAGATAAGGTTTAGATTTTGCTTTGTAAATAGTTTTAACAGCTTATGTAGTTTAGTGCAGGGATAGGCAACCTATGGCATGCGTGCCAAAGGCGGCATACGAGCCGATTTTCAGTGGCACTCACACTGCCCGAGTCCTGGCCACTGGTCTGGGGGGCTCTATATTTTAATTTAATTTTAAATGAAGCTGCTTAAACATTTTAAAAACCTTATTTACTTTTACTTACAACAATAGTTTAGTTATATATTATAGACTTGTAGAAAGAGACCTTCTAAAAATGTTAATGTATTACTGGCACACAAAACCTTAAATTAGAGTGAATAAATGAAGACTCGGCACACCACTTCTGAAAGGTTGCTGACCCCTGGTTTAGCGTTTGGATTGTCTCTTTGGGAGACACCCTCCACCCATCCCCTTGTATCACGTTCAGGTAACTGACTATGCCCAGGACTCCAGGCTTCAAACTCTGTGCTTCTTGCCCACAATCCTTAGTCAGCGATGACCACCAGTGCTGCCTGTACTGGCTTGGGGAAGCCCACATGGCGATGAGGTGCAGTATCTGCTGATCATTCTCCAGCTGTACCTGAAAAGAGTGGGAACTTTATCTCTGGAAACACCTCATGGAAAAGGCCATGAAGCCTCAATCAGACCCAGGCCAGGGAACCCTCCCTCTACATCTGCCTGATTCAGCAGGGAGAATGCCTCTTGCTGCAAAGTTGAACTCTAGTGTGGGAGTGTCTACTCTCACAGGCCCACCAGTAGAATTTTTGTTTTCTCACCTGCTCCCAACTCTACTACTGGTTCAGGCCACTTTTGAAAGGGCTGGACAGCAACATCCCCAGTCTACTCCTATGGATAAGGAGGGCAAATGTCTGGACCTGTTGGGGAGAAAGTTTTGTCATTTAGCCTCCAGTTCAGGGTAGCCAATTACCAGGCACTATCGCTAAATACAACTTCCTGAACTATGCCAAGTTTGCTAAGATTACTGACCGGCATCTGCAACAGGACACAGCTCCTTTCTAAGCTCTGATAGATCAAGGCAGAGGGATAACCAAGACCATGCTCCAGTCTGCAGTTGACAACTCTGTTACCTCCTCTAGAGCTATGGTTACTGCTGTTATGTGCACGGAGTCATGGCTCCATGCATCAGGGTTCCCTAGGGAGACCCAGAATACCATTGAGGTCCTCTCCTCTGGTGAATTGCAACAATTCAGCCAAAAGATGGATGAGTCCGTCATACCCTAAAGGGGACCAATTGATCCTACTTCCAAATTTTCCAACTCTGGGTGTATAGTGCGCATGCATGTAGCCCACAGTGGAATACAAATAGGGACTACACATCTCGAAGAATCATCAGTTGCAGATCAGTAACTTCCTCTTATCTAAAGGTTCAATTTTTCTACCCTCTGGTTTATTATTCAAGATTTTTTTGTACTCTTCCCACATCTTTTTTTCAGAGCTATTACATAGTTAAGACTTCCAGTGGGACTCCTGCACTTCATCCTAATTCTGCAGATCTTCAAAATACCTCTGTAATCTTCAAGAGGGTGCTTTGTCATATTTTTGTTCCCTTCCCTTCCTTATAGAAATGATGTCACAAGGGGAGAGTGTTGGGAGTTCTGTCTGTTAAGGAAGCGTATATTGAGTTTTTCTTTGGGAAGTTTGTTCCAGGTTCTAACTGGTACACAACCAACATACAGTTTCACACTTTGGATTTGGAATCAGCTTGTGATGTCTTTCTACACTTGAGGGGAGAGAATTGGATATCTTCTTGTTTGTTCATGGGGATCTTAAATGCTTGAAGGGCTCAGTCTCTCTGAATGGACTAATTCATATATATCAAGCATGTGGAACATCTAGTAAGGCTTATGGATACATCAAAGTGCATTTCAGAAGGTGCTCCTCAGAGGCTTGGGCTGTGAAATCTAGAGCTTCGTACAAGGAGACTTGCCATTTGACAACTGGAAGTTTGCAATAACTTCACCAAATAGTACAGTAATGACATTCTATCCTTGGGTTATGCAGCATTTGGCCATTCCATCTTCCCTCAATTTAAATTAAGGAAGGAAGGAAATTAGCATTAATTCTAATTTCCATTTTTATATTTCCTATGGGGTTTTGTGGCTTAGGTTGTGAAGTTTTTTCCCTTTCTAGGAATTGTTTGGAAGCTACTTCCTATCTG